GTCAGGGCTTACGAGAACTGCGGGATTCTCCTGTAGTAAGGAATGTAGATGTTTGTGGTGGCAATGGGGACTAGTAGGTATCTGCTGCTTACCTTTTCCCTAAAAGTCTCTCCTGTCTCTAGACCGATCTGTTATGGGAAGGCGAGATGGGGCTGCAGTGGCTGGGTGTCTCCATACTGCCCTCATGGGCTCTCAAACACCAAGTGACACATGTCTCTAGTCAATCATCATGCTAGTCATCTTGCTAAAGTTAAGTGTATTTATTAATCCAACAACCAGACAGAGCAAAACAAAGAAATTTCTTTTTTATAATTTGAAGATGACAGTGAAAAAGAATAAGACTAAGATCTAGTTTGGCAGGTTCCCATCACTCCTTAAAGACTCTTTGTCTCAACCTTTCAGCAAATTAACAATGACTAGATTAATACACATAGCAGACTTTCAAAAACGTTTAGCGAAAGAATGGCCCTACCCAACACATAATATGAGAACTATCAATCTCTGGCAGGTGGCTGGGGGAGGGGGAGGACAGAAAAAAGATGGTAATAAGGAAATTCTTTAATAAACATTTTCTCCAGGAAAGTTGCACAGAGCATGAATTTTAGCTCTACTGGTTTGCAATCTGTGATAAATCAAGTTGAAGCTATCTATGCTCAGTACTTTTAAAAGGCCATTATGATTAATAAACTAATTTATAGTTACTGGGCACTTACTATGCAAAAGACCACAAGCACAGCGCTTTTCACACAATATCTTATTTAATCTTTAAATCAGCTTTATCCAACATAAACTATTACCCTCATTTCCAGATGGGGGAAACTGAGGCTTAAAAACGTAAAGTAACTTGTATGATATCACACTGCTCTAGAGTGAAGCAATTGGGCTTGTAAGCAAAGTTTGTCTAAATTCAAAGCTCTATGACTGCAATATTTCATTTAGTACTTAAACAAAATAACACTAATTAGCATCTGATATTCTTTCAAAATAGAACACAGAATATTTCATTTTAATAATTGTACATTTTTAAGAATTATATATTGAAATAGTTAATGTACTAGTTACCAATCATTCTTTCCATTTCATTAAAAGAAATCTCTTCCTCTATTAGCCATTTCATTAACCTACTCTAGTTAGTCTGTAATATTTAAGCATAAAATTTAACTTTTCATAAAATAAGTCCATAATTCATCTTTATATCAGAATATCCTCTATCTTCAGCCCAAATTTCTGAAGTGTTTACTATATTTTAATAAAAAGCAAATAGTCTTATAATTTACTGTTATAAGCTCTTAGCATGAAATAAGTTCACACACACTCTCTTTTTTTATGGAAATGTGTGTTCACCCTATCTTTTTATCTCCCTCCTTCTGCTAACTTTAACTAAAAGCTGACTATTGCTACCAATATTTCCATAGCCTACACATTTCTTTTCAACATATGCTTTCTACTTAAGTCACAAAAAACGGGACACAATGATAAATTTTAAAACCACATTTAGGAAGAAGATGACTACATTTAGGTAATGAGCATAATAATCCAGCTTCATATGTCTTTCCATCACAACTCTTGCTTTGCCTTTAACCAGTGTGAAAAGTCTGTTTGTAAATTTTATTGATTTTTAATATAATTATATCCCCCCAAAAGAAAGTAAGTACATACTACAATACCATAACAAATATAACATCAATTTGGACATAGAAATCAAAATATATTCAGGAGACTCAGAGTTAAAGCCTTAATAGGCTTAATTGCAGAAGGCTCTTTCATTACGTGATTACATGAAATTGGGCCAGTGACAGATTATGTAGTAAATAATATTCAGGAAAATATTCATCTATAATATCTTTATCTTACATATATAACATTCTATGTGACTGCATACACTGTTATATAATCTCATTCTGAAAGAGCGTATTATAAATACATACAAGAAAGGGGTTATAACTAAGCCAAAAGTAAAAAAAGGAAAACTCTTGAATTTTATGCTATTAAATCTCAAACATAACATTGCATTAATTTCTTACATAAATTCAAATAACTTATACGAACATTTGTTTTTAAAACCTGGGAATGCCACCACTAGTCCAGTCCAAGAGCCCATCTAACTCTAACAGCCTGTCTTTGACAATGACCAATGGTGGATGCTTCACAAGATAGGATATACATAACATAATGTATATAATTATACACCACTACACCATTATCCCAAATGGCAGTTAGATTATGTCCTGAAAGAAATTAAAATAAATCGTAACTCCTCTCCCTCAGAGACGCTATAATTTCTCATAAGGTAATGGGAAGCCTCCAATAAAGCACACACTTAACCATAATATAACCCAATGCTTTGAATGACAACTAAACTGAGAAGCTGAACCCAGAAATAGAACTTAAGCTCATCAAAACATGATTTGCAAAGGGGGATTTTCAATGAACTGAAAAGCATCTGATTCACTCAATTAAAAAGAATTGTTTGCAAAACAGATGAGCAAAATTTAAAGCTTTTAAAAAAGCAAACTACAATTTCTATGCAAGCCATAACATTTTATGATATGTAATATGGTTTTCCAGAGCGTATGATAATGTCTGTATTTTTCACACCTGTGTCATCATGGTTTTAAATTAAACTTGAACTTATGAAATGCTCATCTAGTGTGCAAAGCCACATAATGCAGAAATCTTGGTTTGGTCTTTCAGGAAGCACTGCTTCCTAAACAATTACAGAGGAAAAAAAAAGTACTACATTTTTTAAGACCTTTGGAAAAGATAATTCTCTCGGTAATATATGTACATATTGATTTAACAACCCTTGCAGTCAGGAAATACCTGATCTAAATGCTCCATGGTAAAATCTGAGGTCATTTTCTCTTTTTCTGATGTCAAATAACTTGGAATATATTGAGTCAGTCGTGTGTTGCATAACAATGTTTCCATCAACGATGGGCCACATATATGATAGTGGTCCCATAAGATTATAACGGAGCTTTTATAACATACTTTTACTCTACCTTTTCTATGCTTAGACACATAAATACTCACCATTGTGTTATAACTGCCTACAGTATTCTGTATGTTAACATACAAGTTTGTAGCCTAGGAGCAACAGGATACCATATAGCTTAGGTATGTAGTAGGCCATGCCATATAGATTTGTGTAAATACACTCTCTATGTGATGGTAAATATTAAGTGTCAACTTGATTGAAGGATACAAAGTATTCTTCCTGGGTGTGTCTGTGAGGGTATTGCCAAAGGAGATTAACATTTGAGTAAGTGGACTGGGAGAGGCAGACCTATCCTTAATCTGAGTGGGCACTCTCTAATCATCTGTCATCATGGCTAGAATAAAGCAGATTTGCTGAGTCTTCCAGTCTCCATCTTCCTCCTGTGCTGGATGCGTCCTGCCCTCAAACATGAAACTCCAAGTTCTTTGACTTTTGGACTCTTGGACTTACACTAGTGGTTTGCCAGGGACTCTCAGGCCTTCAGTCACAGACTGAAGGCTGCACTGTCGGCTTCCCTGCTTTTGAGGTTTTGGGACTCAGAATGATCCACTTCTGTCTTCCTTGCACCTTAACTTGCAGATGGCCTATCGTGGGACTTCATCTTGTGACTGTATGAGTCAATTCTCCTTAATAAATTCCCTTTCACATATAACTATATCCTATTAGTTATATCCTTCTAGAGAACCCTAATATATACTCTATAATGTTCACACAATGAAACTGCCTAACAATACATTTCTTAAAACATATCCTGTTGTTAAGCAACACATGACTATATTTGAAAACCTTTACTAATGTCTCTTTTTCTAAGTTACTACATTGCAGGACTAGGAACCAAAATACAGTCATGTACTGAGTTCAGTTTTATAATTTTTCTCTATCTATCATAGCCCAAGAGACAGGTCTTGAAATTACTTACAAACCCTAATTTTTACCAAGAACTGCTCTTCTCCCTAATATACTCTTTCTCAGGAAAAAAAAAAAAAATCTATTTCAGAACAAACCCAAAAATTTAGAAAATGAAATTTATATGAGACACGAGCAAGAAACAATGCATATAAAATTCCAATATAGACACTTCTTCCTTCCCTAAAATAGGGGATCATTTAATGAAATGTATCACTCAAAACCTCTGGGACAGAGCTGAAACTGCAATGTAATATCATAAAATCTGCAGCTGTGTTGCTGTTCTTAATAATCCATGCTGCTTTCTCAGACCACAGGAAGCCAAAACACACACTGTCAGAACTAAACTTACCTTCACAGGAATTGACTGAAGCAGTGAAGCAGTTATGATAGACCATGCATCAAAACAGTTACGGAAAAGATTGTATACATTCTTAGGAATTTTCTACTCAAATAATTTGCTCACTCTAGAAAAGCTGCTTCCAAATATCAACTCTTTCTTTGTAGGAATTAAAACTACAGGATAGGCAAATGTGTTGGGAAGTCCTCAACTGGGCTGCCATAACAAAATGGCATAGATTAATGGCCTAAACCACAAATATTATTTCTCAAAATTCTTGTAACTAAAGTCCAAGATCAAGGTACTGACACTGACAGATGCAGCATCTAGTGAGGGCATTCTTACTGGTTTGCAGATAGCCACCTTCTCGCTATATCCTCATATGGCAGAGAAAATTATTATCTCTCATGTCTCTTATAAAGATATTAATCCCATTCTTTTTTTAATTAAATAGAGACAAGGGTCTCACTATGCTGGCCAACCTTGTCTCAAACTCCTGGACTGAAGCAATCCCCCGCCTTGGCCTTCCAAAATGCTGAGACTACAGGCATTAGCCACTGTGCCCTGCCAGATGTCATTCTTAAGGGCTCCACTCTGATGACCTAATTACCTCCCAAAAACCCCACTTCCAGATACCATCATTTTGGGGATTAGGTCTTCAACATATAAATTGGGGGTGGTGAGGGGACACAAACATTCTGTCCACAACAGCAAGTAAACTTTACCATACATAAATAAGCAGTAATAACTTACTTTTATTGCCTACCAAGGCAACCAGTGGCTGAGTTTCTGACTCCTCGTTCACTTTCTTCACCACAGTATACCAATCTTCTAAATTCTCAAAGCTTTGATAATTTGTAATATCATACACCAAGAGGATTCCCTGTCACAAAAGAGTTACAAAATATTTGTAATGTATTACTAGGGGCAAAAATCTTAATGAATACTAGAGTAATCCTTCAGATATGTAAAAATGGGTGTAAAAATACAAATGTCAAGTGTTTCATAGTTACAACTTTCATTTAAATTGCTTACTAGCAGATTGATAATACTAAATGTTTTCATTCAAGATAAATCTAGCAATTAACATGCAATGCAAGCTAAAATATAATTCTATCAAAATTGTGGTCTTCCAATAAGATAGCTGGAATATGCTTGGTAAATTACAGAAAATATAAGAAAATCATATCAATATCAAAGAAGCAGAAAAGGCTACAACATCTACAATCCTACCTCTGACTTTCATGAGGTCAGACATTTAAACCTTTCAATAAATAACCATCTGCTGCTATTCTTTTTAAATATTTTCAAAAACAGAGATTCCATGATACCTCTTGATAGGCAATTTAAGTGTTTAACACAATTTTCTTTAAATGAAATGTCTATTTCCTCTTTTAGTCCACTGTGCATTTGAAGAACTTGAGAGTACCTTTCCTAAACTAACCCTTTATATACTTGAAGACAGTTAGGTAACTCCGTTACCATCTCCTTTCCAGAGTAAACAAACTCAGTTCCTTAAACTTCCCTCAAAGGGCCTATTTTTCTATCCCTTTAATCATAGCTGTTGATTCTTCCCAGGACACACTACATATAGTTTTGTGACATCCTCTTTAAAATGAGCAATGTAAAACTGGACATAATACTGTAATATGAGTCTGAGCAATGCCAAATATAACAGAAGGATTGCTTCCTGCCTCTTATATATCATATTTTTTAATTTATCTCATTATTTTGTGTAGGAAGGAGAATTATATATGCACACAAAAATAACCCGCATTCTTGATTCTCATCCAGTTTGTGGTCAAACACTTAATACAAGGCTGTACATACAATAAAATACAATATAAGCCTGGACCCTAATGGCATTTATGTCTACTTCTTAGGTTATAACAGTAGTAATCTACTACTTTTGTGCACCTACTGTATACCAGACACATTTCTGGGTCTTCTCATTAATCCTTACAACAATCCCAAAAGGCTGGTATTATCATTCCCATTTTAAATAATCAACAGAGGTGAAAATAACCAAGGTCATACTGATAGGTAAGTGATGGAACCAGGATTTGAATCAAAGACTAAATAATTAAAAACATTTGTCTTTCGATTAAACTCTAAGCATTGTACTGGATTCTACAGACATTAAGTTCCAAACCATAAGGAACTCACAGTCTTGCAGCAAAACTAAACATATAAACAAGTATATAACACAGTAGTCAGGACCAATGAGATACTGGTAAATATTAATCAATTGGCTTGGGGTTCGGGGCCCAGCAGGGGTGACAGTTTGCTATAATGTTTGCCAATTTCCATGATCCTTGCCTATGGTCATTTTTAAGTTATCAATGTGACATCACTGAACATAGAGTTGGAGAGGGCACCATTATATAACATGTCCACTATATAAATGTAGCAGATGTAAACAACCTCGAGAACACAGATAACAGAAATACATAGTAAAATAATTAGTGATAGAGATTAAGCATATAATACCTTTGTTTTAATACAATGTGTGAGTTTATATATAATTTTTAATTGTGAAAGTATTTAATAACTGGCTCATGAAAACTGCTAAAAAATTAACAATTAACTCTCTGAAGCTAGGGCCAGCCAGCCCTGGCATACTTCTGTTATGAGCTTCCAGGACTATTATTCTCTTTTATTAAACCATACTGGCCCCCAAGTCACCTAGCTTCTTCAGGTCTCAGGTTTCTTATCTCTAAAATTAGATATTTGAGTTAGATGGTCTCTAAGATACCTTTCACTTTAAATGTTCTATAATTTTTACACAAAATCACTCATCTGATTCATTTCAGCAACTTGAATATCTATTTCTGTCTGTCTTCCAAGATGCTTTGAAATAATGCCCAACATAGAATTAACTAAAACAAAGAGTATCTCACTTTCCTTATTAAGAATAAAGCCCCAGAACTGATTTCTGAAGGTTAATTTTCAATCTACTGACACCACCTCCAACTGCCATGGGTGATATTATATATTACTTGCTGAAAAGAGCTCTACTGTGGAACTCAGGTTGCTGGTGAATTCCAGTCCTGGCCCCATCTATTGATCTTGGGCAAAACTTGTTATCTCACTTTTAAAATATCAAATATGCCTACATTATAAAGTGAAATAATAAAAGTACTTATTTTAAAATTAATATACGACATGCAATTGCAGATTTTTTTGTTATCATATTAAGCAAACAAGAATCACATTTCATGGCAACTTTGAGGTAGGTTTTAAACTTACAAATAAGGCCTAAACCTATGACTCTTAAGACTTTTGAACTCTTCCAATTAATATATGAAACCCTTCATCCAAACATGGGACAATACCTGAATATGGTAAAACATCTGCAAATGATCTACTGATACTACCATGCAAATAATCTACCATCTACTGACACTCATTACAGGATGAGAGATAGGGAACAAACATTAAAAACCGTTGTTCTAGACCACAAATTGGTAAACTATGGCCCATGGGTCAAATCTGGCCCACACCCTGTATTTATAGATAAACTTTACTGAAATATATAGTCACACTCATTTGTTTAAGTATTAACAATTTTGTGTTACAATTGCAAAGCTGAGTAGCTACAACAAAGACAACATGGCCTGCAAAGCATAAAATATTTACTATCTAGCTCTTTTCAGGAAAAAATTGCCAATCTCTGATCTAGACAAATGTATCCCAACATTGTTCAGTTGGTGATTCTTAGAAATTGTTCAGGATTCACAAAAAAAATAGAAGGATAAACTCCTATTCACTCACCTAGTTATCTAGCAACATAAACATCTCCATTTAATGTAAAAACTATTATTATTTTTCCTTGTTCTTGTCATTGTAATTAGTGCCAATTTTGACCTTCACCACTGTGGTGAAATTCTGAAATGAAAAAATGAAAAAACTAAAAATATTAAAATATAAAAGGAATTATAGGACTTTCACTTTCAACTGACATGTAAAAAAACCTGAAAGTCATCACTCCTGTCCTCACATAAGAAAAAGACAGAACAAGGCCGGGCGCGGTGGCTCAAGCCTGTAATCCCAGCACTTTGGGAGGCCGAGGCGGGTGGATCATGAGGTCAAGAGATCGAGACCATCCTGGTCAACATGGTGAAACCCCGTCTCTACCAAAAATACAAAAAATTAGCTGGGCATGGTGGTGCGTGCCTGTAATCCCAGCTACTCAGGAGGCTGAGGCAGGAGAATTGCCTGAACCCAGGAGGCGGAGGTTGCGGTGAGCCGAGATCGCGCCATTGCACTCCAGCCTGGGTAACATGAGTGAAACTCCGTCTCAGAAAAAAAAAAAAAAAAAAGAAAAGAAAAAGACAGAACAAACTGAAAAATCAGTGACTTTTCTTGGACTCATCAGAAAGTTGATACTGCAAAGCAAATCATCACCCTGAAATCTGGAGAGGCAAACAAATCCAAAAAATTACAGCCAAGATCTGCTTATCTGCAGAAGCAGCCAGTAGAAACAGTAAATGGTAGGAAGACCTAAATGGTAATTTTGACAAACTGCTGGAGGCTGACGGGGGTCTAGCTTAAGAGTGAGGAACTCCTAGGGGCCCCTACAGTCTCAAGGCCTACCTCCACACTTTCATGGATGCGCCACCAGATTCCAAATGTCCCACTAAATTATCAGTAAAGAGTCAAGAAAGATCCCCTCAAGGCTCTGGGATGAAGAGAGGAAAAAAGTAACCATTGTGAAACATACCCAGAGCATTATCCATAAAAAAAAAATCATACTCTCCAGAAGAAAAGGCTTAATCAGAACATTGTATTCCATCCAGAAAGGGAAGTTCCCAACTTCAACCCCCTGTAGCTGTTCTGTCTCATCTAACTGGGAGGAGCAAAGAAACACTTGTGAAGTTCACAGTCTAGAAATACAAGCCCACTAAAGACTAAAACTTTATCATAAGAATACAGAATGCTTCTCCTCCCCCATACTTTACCACAACACCAACAGAGCACCAACATCTGAAAGAGCTGCCAGACAGATCTCACCTAACAAGTTCTTAGAGATACCAAAAAAGACTCGGAGGCAAAAACAAGGATGCTAGAGGAATTGATGCCTCTGGCACCCACAGCTAAATTAAACATTAAATGCAGCACAAAGTAAAACCTCACACAAAAGTCTACTTACCTGAATCTTATTACTATATCATGTCCAGCTTTCAATATAAAATTACGAGGAATTTCAAAAGGTAATTTGAAGAGAAAAAGCAAGTATCAGAACCAGACTCAGATATGAAACAGATTTTGTAATTACTAGACAGGCAATTTAAGTAACTATGACTAATATATTGATGGTACTAAAGGAAAAGGAAAACATGTAAGCACAGATAGGGATAATAAAACAAGGGATAATCAAAACAAAATACTAGATATCAAAAACACTGTAACAGAAATAAAGAATGCCATTGTTGGGTACATTGTTGGTCAAAGCGTAGGAAAAAAATCAGTGAGCTTGAAGATAGGATAATAGAAACTTCTAAAACAGAAATGCAAAAAGAAAACAAGAATGAATAAAACAAAACATCAAAGAACAGTGGCACAGTCCCAAGTGGTGCACCATATGCATAACTGAAACATCAGAAGAGAGAATCAAGCTTAGGAAGTACCTGAAGTAATAGTCAACAAGAAATTGACAAAATTAATTAGACACCAAACCCAGTATTTAGGAATCTCGGCCAGGTGCGGTGGCTCACGCCTGTAATCCCAGCATTTTGGGAAGCTGAGGCAGGCAGATCACCTGAGGTCAGAAGTTCAATACCACCCTGACCAACATTGAGAAACCCCATCTCTACTAAAAATACAAAATTAGTCAGGTGTGGTGGTGCATGCCTGTAATCCCAGCTATATGGGAGACTAAGG